AGTACCTTACCAATAATCATGTGGAGAGATGTAATGTAACTATATAAAGAGTGTTATATACGGGTTTTTTTCTTCTGTTTTTTATTTTTACCAATTCAATTTTTGATTCTTTCGCTTCTATCTTTGTAAGCATGAACATTAGAGCAGTTCCAGCAACAAGGGCTGGGGGGGTGTTAGCCCCAAAAACCGTTTCCATCAGCAAGGGCTGGCCCGGGCAGGAGGTGGGGCCCACGAAACCAGGTCAGCCCTCAAGCAAGATGAGCCCGAGTTTGCTGACATCAGCAACAACAACAAAATTAAAAAATCTATAAAAATACAAAAAAGTTCAGATTTTTTTTTTAATAAATACTTAGTCTTAGTTTTCACTTCCCACACCAAACTCTATATAAATTTATCTTCTCATATATTATGTGAATAGTTATTGCAATGACAATAGGTGGAAACACTACAACCTTTTGCAAGGGCAGCTACTATTCACATGAATAGTGACTACCCTAGCCCCCTCCCCCCCTTGCCATGATTAGTGGAAGTGCTATTACATAATTTATCACAAGCAAACTGGTGGAAGTGCTATTACATAATTTATTCACAACAGCTACTCTTTACCATTTTCAAATGCTATTTATTCGTTCCTCTTCTATAACAAGAAGATGTCAAACACAATCTGTGCCAGCTTCTTTTCTGCCGTCAATTATGAGTTAATATTTGACTTTTCATACTCAAAACTGTATTTCAAAGTTGAACTTGTTTTTCTGGGTTGAAATGGGGATAAGAGCAACTTCACCCATTTGCCCCCTGCCCTGGCAAGGGGGGGGCTAGAGCAGCCCCCATTTACATGAATAGTGGTTGCCCTTGCAAATAGTATTGTGTGTTTCCATCCGTTGTCATGGCAAAGAGCAATTACTATTCATTTTTTTGTTTTTTTCACAAATTTATTTACCTAAATAATTAATTTGGATAATATTTTCGGATAAGATTTTTGGGTTCGTACATGTCAATATTTATTATAAAATTCATATCTCAAATTTTGGTATTTATAGGAAAAAAAAAAAGGAGTAATTTTTTAGTTTTTTTTTTTAATTTTTTTTTTAATTTTAATTTTAATTTTATTTTTAATTTTATTTTTTTATTGCACAAAAATTGGCTGCCGTTGGATTGGAGAAAAAAATATCATCGGAGAACCCAGAGCGCGACACGTGGACTTTAGCGGCACTGTAGCGATGACGTCAGCAACAGCCATCGGGCTTGAGCTCCGGCTGAACTGGCTTGAGGGCCAGCCCGATTTCGTGGGACCCACTCCTAGCCCGGGCAAAGGATGACCGAAGGAAAAAAAATTAAACC